ACGCGCTCTTGTAGCACGGTAGGAGAGAATCCGGTGCGACATGTGCGACGAGACAAGTAAGCCCTATACACGCGCTTGTAGCGTGGTGGGGACGGTCCTCGGCCTCGACATCGACACCGCTGACGACTGCTACGCAAGGTATGATGTTCTAAAACCCCATTCTCAGCATTTGTAGCGGACCGGGGAACCACCTATACGCTCTTGTAGCACGGTAGGAGGGAGACCAATGCGATGCATACGACGAGGTGGGTAAGCCCTATACACGCTCTTGTAGCGTGGTGGGGAGAGTTATTGGTGTTCTCTTACGGGTACTGTTGAAGGCCCCATACACGCTATTGTAGCGTGGTGGGATGAAAAGATATATGGTCGTCATGTCTAAGGGCACATACCATACACGCTCGAGTAGCGTGGTGTGAAGGCCCAACTCCCCTACTTTCCCCAAAACGGGGGATATGTCGGGGTGCTGCCGAAATTTTCACTGAAATGTACAAAGCCTGAACAATTTGAAGACATCATTTGAGCAACAGTACGGAAGACCTGTACTTGAACAAAAATGCATAGAACTTGAACTAAATGAGCAGAGGACTTGTACGATGAACAGTGGACTTGTGGACCTAAACCTAAATAAAATTTAAATGATTTTTAAATGTCAAAATCAAATGAAATAAAATCAAAACGGAATCAGAAATCAAAATCAATTTGAACATATAATTCAACTTCAGAAGATTTTGAACTCGTACTTGAACTCGGATTATACGACATTAAGCGAGGACTTGCAAACTTGATGAATTCAAGTCTGAATGAAATTGAACTCGGATCCAAACACATACGAGGAATAAAGCTTGAATCACACGCGAGGGAACTCAAAGAACATTTGTGCGGTCAATGGTGACTCAATATCAGATGAAATACATTGATCCTAGTAAACAAATGTGACTAAGACACACTACAAGAACTCAATGCATGCAAATAAAGAATGTAGTGGACTCTTACAACAGCCTTTATGAGATGGGTGCATTGTACCTGCAAGAATGAAACGCATGGGTGTCTCTCCTACATGCACTATTGGAATCTCCAACACAAGCAATAATGCCTGTAGATTGAGATGGCAAAGCCGACGTTCAATAGTGGAGGACTCGTCTCCTGCAAACAAGTACAATCAGCAAAACCCACCTGAGATTGGTGAAAGGTAAATGTGATGCAAGGACAATGGTTCTCCTACGAATATTTCCAAGAGGTCGTAGTAGATACAATAGTCCCCACAAAGTCAATGAATTATACTTATAAGAAGCAACGGACAGTTGTAAGGTGTACGAGTCCTACCCATATATAGCAATCAAAGATTCGTCCCTACAAGCAAGATCAAATACATCAAAGCAAACCACCTGAGATTAGTGAAAGGTGGATATGGTGCAAGGACAATGGTTCTTCTACAAATACTTCCAGGAGGTCGTAGTGGAAACAACGATTCCCTGCAAATAAATGCTTGTGGATAACAACAGTGGGTATATTGCAGATACAACGAATCACTGTGGACACAAGTACATATATCACCTATGACAACGGTGATTAAGATATTCAAGTACGTCGGGTACAAGGGCGACTCTATGTACAAAGGACACCTCCTGGCAGAATGGAAGAGATGTTTGAGCAAATTCAAACTAAACTTCCTGGTGTTCCAAAATTCCTTCTTGATCATGTACTCGGGAAGGAAATAATGCTTGCATCCACAAATATCAGAAATAACAAGTCCACTATACTAGTGATCTCAAAAGGAGATCTTTTCAAAGCAGCAGACTTCAAAGTCTAGAAGAAACCTCCCCGGTGAATGAGAAAGGGGGGAGTCAACATCAAGATGAGGAGATGCCTCATAACATCAAGATCATACCGCCACCGGATCCGCAACACACGTACTAGTGGACAGAAGACGTGTATAAGCTCTTAAATAAAAAGTTGTGTGCATCCAAACGATAGTTATATGCACAATTATAATTATTTTAAAGTACCCCTGCACGTGCACTATCAATTGTATACATATAGGTACACTAAAGGGAAAATATAATCTCGGCCCATATGGGCCCCAGCGAGCGTGTTGTAGGAACACACGTGACGTCTATGGATGCTGCGCGGGTCGATAAGTGAATTCAAGTTGGAACCCGATGCTTCCATACGGGTCAATAGAAGTCGACAGGGTTCGAACCAACAAACAAGTATACGGTCGTGACGGCTGGTATATTTATTTTATTGCATTCATATTAGGTCGTCAAGGCCTATAACAATAAGAATTCACTAATAAAGGCACGAAGCCTACGAAACCTGATCCTCCTAAGCAGGTAAATAGGAGTAGACAGGGTTTGAGCCATAAGATAAATATGCGGTCATGATATCGACCGAAATATTTATCTTATACATTCATATTAGGCCTTCAAGGCCTTTAACAAAGAAAATTCACAAAGAATGGCACAAAGCCTATAAAACCCGATCTCCTATCGGTAAGTTGATAGGGTTGAAAAGGTTCAATCAAATGAAAATGATCCAAAACACCCCGATGATGGCCGTGTTGAATGTAAATCTCAACCGGAGGGGTCCATTCACAAATAGTTTCAAATGACTCCCAAAAGTCCAAAATTCAAAATCTCCAAATTTAATCCCAAACTTCAAAATATTTAAAATTGAAATAAATCCATCAACACTTAAAGCAAAATCCAACCACCATTCGCAACAGTTTGCCGAGGTGAATAAATTAAATTTTACTTCATCTCACAAAGAGTCAAATGCCTAGTCGAAAATATCACTAGGATCCATTCTCAAACAATCTCCTGCCAATAAGACATGATACGTGTCTTCTAACCGGCGGTTTTGCCGCCAAATGGCACTGCATGATAAACGGTTATGACCTGGGGCCCTCTGAACCGAGTGATTTTGCCGTCAAATGGCACCACGAAATACCGGTTATGGCCAGAGCCAATACGTTCCTTATTGGCATCAAATCCTTGAGATATGAATCAATAGGATATGATCGATAGGGTATAAAGCCCTCTGTCAGCTAAGGTGGATTCAAATTTGTCCCCTTAGGCAAACAGTCAACCCAGGTCTACAAGGTCCCCTTGGACGAAGCAACCCATGGCTGCCGACAAGGATCCTTCTGTCAGGTTGGGTCGACTACCTCCTCTGACTAAGTAGACCAGGAACCACGATGGTCCGGGACGATGGAACCGTGGGATCTTGATCGGGTCCATCATCCATTCCCCCACCATCCGCTTTAAGTGAAAGATGGTGAAATTTCTATTTTAAATATCAAATTTTCCAAACATCCAAACTCTTCCCAAATTCTTAACTTCCAACCAATTTTCAAATCCAACATTTTCAAATACCAATGTTTATTGCTGCTACTATATGATTGATACTACGTATCTATGGATACAACGTATCTGATCGACGACTAGCCTTAATCGAAAGTTCTCTCTCGTGATCGGGAGGGGTAATTAACCATAGGGACTTGTGCCTATAGGAAACCAGAACTCATATCATAAAGTTCTTGCAAAATGAGGCCGAAATCTCTGGGTAGTGTCTTATCTACAAACACATCTGCCTTTCAAAATTTACCCCGGAACTTATTCCGTTAAAACTCCCTCGCCAAAAGATAAAAGAAAAAGAAAATCAGCGCGGCGGGGAGGCCGGGGCTGAATTTTCGGAGCCCACACTTTGGATCAAATAAATTTGCTACAACATTATATAATTACAATCATAATGATGAGCAAATCAAGGATAAGATCCCTAATAAAATATTGTCCGTATATAAATAAATTTGAAATAAATCAAACAAACAGACAATTAAGCAAATTAAATTCCCAAAAATAATGAAATAATTTTGACACTTTATAGATATTATTTATCTGTGCATCATCCTTACAACCTAGGTAATTTCTAACTCAATCAATTTATAATAAAAATATTTAAGACATATGTGTCCTTCAATTAAAATAATTATAGATGCAATAAGCCAACGACCTAGAACTTCGCTTCTTCCTTCTTGAATTTGTTGAATTAAATATCTTGGGCTTGCCTTCAAGTTGCAAGTGTTCCAAATAAGCCAAGTGAGATCTGTAATCATCTTCATTGTTACCAATAATGAATTACCTATGAGGAAATGTTTAGCAACCACTACATGACACAACACTATTTATTATCATCAAATCACTAATGAGACATATACGTTGCCTAGGCTCATGGGACATCAACATGTTCCTGATTGTGAGATCTCATCTCCTCATTCTTCTAGAATATGGCTATAAACACATTTATGGAAAATAAACTTTTAATCTGAGATCTCATCCCTTGATTCTTCAAGATTGATGTCTTTAAACAACTTTGAGGACACAAACTCTTCTGTTAACTCTTCAGCAACGCATTTTCTTGATCCATAAACATATTCCAACTGTAGGTGAGCATGACTACATACAACTCTCTAACAAAAATAGAAGCAATGATTAGAGCAAGAAGATTTTGAATGAGACAATGTAGGATTTCATAGAATCACACTAGAGAGAAAAAAAAAGTCCTGAAGAACTTCACAATCTAATTCCTTTCTTTTACGGGCCATCAAAATAAAATGACCATGTACTTTATAACTATCTAAGACCCATCACTAAGTAATCTAGAATATCGATGAAAAATATTAATGACCATATATAAAAGGAAAATGTATTATACCATCATCTCGCTCAACAACTCAAATCCTCAAATGAATTAGTCCAACATTACCCATCTGAAGATGTGAGTAAACAGTATCATTACAATTACATGAAAATATGCTCCAACTTGTGTAGTACTTTGATTACGCACATGAACAAAGCTCATTCTTTTTTTATTTTCACCAATGTTGCACCAAATCATACCAATATGTCATAGCTTATGGTGCATAAAGTAGCACAAATCAACAAATCATTGCTTTGAACTAGCAATTACAGTGGCAACAACAATGACACTAAATATCATACCTCCAGCTTTGACAACATCAACAAGATCATCTGTCAAGATAATAGGTATTGATCGAGGCATAGATCCAACTCCCAAAACTTGTGTGTTCTCTTGGATCTTGATCTCTTGGTAATCATGGCATACTATACTATCTGGTATAGATTGGAAACTTGTCCCCTCACAAATTTTAGAATTCTGTAGCAAACATGAGTGTTCAGAAGAACTATAATGAATAGTAATGAAGTACAAAGAAAAATCTATAACTTCCAGAAAATAGAGGACAAAGATCATCCTCACTGAAAATGAAGACAAGAAAGCAAATTTTGTAATTTACAGTTAATAAAGAATTGAATATTTTTTAAAAGGATAAATTAAAAGATCTCTAGTCTTAGCAGAGAATACAGTAACTCGGAATTCCTACTTTTTTTAGTTTAACTGCTTTGTTGGCCATCCAGACAAAACATTGCAATGGCTATACAAATTTTCCCTGATGCTTTTGCTAATGAAGAATATTTATCATCACCAAATGAAAACATTGAACTCTCATCACTAACTTTCTCTAGAAGGGTAATGAGAAAAATGAACAAATAAATACCAGAAGACTATCCTGTAGCTATTCCATTAGTAAATATTGACAAATGCTTAAAGATGAAAAAGTAAGAAATGGAGTTCAAAATTCTTTATAGTGCACGATTATACCAAAAATTTGGTTCTATTTTAAAGAGTTGAAACACAAAATTAGTCTCTCAAAATAGTTGGGGAATATTTTGATCCATCCCAAAGAGTTAGAGACAATTTTGATCATTTTCTCTTTTCTTTATTTTGATTTTAAATAATCAAAAAGAAAGTTAAGGATTATCATTTGTTTGGTTGCAAGACTATGATATTATGCGTTAGCTCCAACTAATTACCTCCACTTACAAGGCCTAGCATTTCCTATATGGGAAGAGTACTAACCCTATATTGAGTTAAATCCTTTGTGAGAGAGGTGTTCGCCTATGAATCAATCAACCATATAATTTAATATTGTTTTGAACAAATTTGTGAATTAATCTTAAAAACTAACTTTGCCGACCACCTTCTATTTTCTTGTGCAAATTTAAATGCTAAGAGCATAAAAAAATTTTACAAGCATAATGAACTCACTTGCATAAATAAAGCATAAAATAACTTCCAAATAATTTTTTTTTTTCAAACGCCTCATAAAGGGGTTTTTTTTTTTTTCTGTTTTTACATATTGTGAAACATATCCTTGAACATCATTCTAACCAAGTCAATCTCTAATAGAAATCACAAATGTTAGGTTCCATGAAAGTAACATGAGAAATCAAAATTTTATTTCAGGAGGCTAGAACCCAATTGACAAAGAGTAAGAGTCAAATGGATGAGATTGTAGACTGCTTTAAAATATATATAATAAATAATAAAGAAAGAACCAAAAGCCTGAGCCATTGTTTTCAAAGAATTGTTTCAAACAGAGAGGCGCAATGCTTTGGAACAACGTATCCATTCAGTGATTTAGTCAATAATAAGGGCAGAAACTGAAGAAGAAGAAGACACATGTTTGTTTTTGTTAGACCGGTCCACTGGACCGGTCAAGCCGGTCCGCACGGGACCGGCCCTTCACAATTTGTCGCGGGATCTCCGCCTCCTGCGGAGATCGAGCGGCCCGACTGCCCAAGTAGAGCATTTTAGGAATGATTTTTTGGGGGATTAAAAGAGAAATTTGAATTTAGGGACTGTTTAGGGAATTCCTTTATATTCATTAAATAGTTGATTTTCCTAGGGTTTGGGTATCCTGAATTTGGCTGAAATTTGAGATCACTTGGATTTCTTTTGGGCTCTAGTGGCATCTAGAGATTGGGAGAGAACGATCCTCCTCTCGAATAGAGGATCAATTGTATCTTGCTATTTTCCATTCCCTTTCATCAAATAATACAAATTATCTACTGTTTTTGTGTTTTTGTGCCGATTTTTGTGAAGAATCCTCGTTGTTTTTTGAAGATTGATAGGAAATACTTGAGAACTTCAAGTGTTTCCTATCAAATTGGTACAGAGCAAGTCTTGTGACCGGTGGAGAGCTATTTTCGGCAAATTCCAACAGCAGCTTTTTTGCCCGGAAAAGGAGGAAGTTGCTGTTTTTTTACTAAGAGGCTGACAGAGAAGGAGATGCAGGAGAGGAGGGCAAAGGGGTTGTGTTTCAGGTGCGAGGAGAAGTATACGCCAGGGCATCGGTGCAAGGCCCGAACTCTTCAGGTTCTCACCATCTGCGATGATAAGGAAAGGGAGGTGAGGATGAGATTGAGGAGAAGCTACACTTGGATCTGGCTAAGGTTTCGTTGAACTCAGTGGTAGGATTCACCACGAATCATACCATGAAGGTGAAGGGGGAGATAGAGGGCAGGGAGGTGATGGTGCTAATTGATAGTGGGGCTACCCACAATTTCATTTCCACTCAGGTTGTTGACCAACTGGGAGTGAAGTTAGTGGACACCGATTGTTATGAAGTGATGATGGGTACAGGGAAGATAGAGAAAGGCCAGGGAATCTGTAGAGTGGTGTTGACCAGCCAGGGGATTCAAATAAGGGAGGACTTTCTCCCACTAGAGTTAGGAAGCACTGATGTCATCCTAGGGATGAAGTGGTTGCAAACTTTGGGAGAAACCAAGGACAATTGGGGAACACTCACGATGGAATTAATGGTGGATGGGAAAAAGGTGATTATAAGGGAAGATGCAAGGCTATCCAAAGCCATGACATCACTTAAGACTAGGGTTAGGAACATACAAGAGGTGGGGTAAGATTATCTGGTGGGACTACATAGGTTGGATGCGATCAGATTGGAGGAGGAAGGGGATGTTTCTCTTTCCATGCAACCCTTGGTTCAGTAATACAGTAAGGTTTTTCAATCACCTCAAGGATGACCATCTCCGCAGGAACACGAGCATATTTCCACCTTGCGGACAAGGTGGATCTTTGGGAGAGTAGTATTGTTAGACCAATCCACTGGACCGGTCCAGCCAATCCGCACTGGACCGGCCCTTCGCAATTTGTCACTCGATCTCCGCCTCCTACAGAGATCGAGCGGCCCGACCGCCCAAGTAGAGCATTTTAGGAAGGATTTTTGGGGGGATTAAGAGAGAATTTTGAATGTAGGGACTATTTAGGGAATTCCTTTTGATTTGTATGCATTAAATAGTTGATTTTCCTAGGGTTTTGGTTTCTTGAATTTGGCTAAAATTTGAGATCTCTTGGATTTCTTTTGGGCTCTAGCAGCGTTTAGAGATTGGGAGAGAACGACCCTCCTCTCGAATAGAGGATCAATTGTAGCTTGCTATTTTTCGTTCTCTTTCATCAAATAATACAAATTATCTACTATTTTTGTGTTTTTGTGCGGATTTTTGTGAAGAATCCTCACTGTTTTCCGAAGATTGATAGGAAATACTTGAGAACTTCAAGTGTTTCCTATCAGTTTTCTCCTTCTTATACTCCTGTTTCCTTTCCTCAATATCCCGCAAACACGTCGTGCCCTACCTGCGTTGAACCCGACCAAATCCCGCACAGCCCACATACATCAAATTACCTTTCATAATAGATTCACAACATCAACGTATTCTGCTCAAATTTGACCAACCATGGATCCAATTGACCAAGTTAATTGTTAATTGGGGCAGGGAGGCCAGTCAGGTCCATTTCACTAGGAGAGATGATTACAGGTGTTCAGAGAAGTTCATGCTCGATTTGAAGTTTAAATGGATGTCACTGAGATGTTAACAGACAATCGAGCTAGCTTGAGTTAACTCAACTGGTCATCTTAGTCAATCACTAATTAAGAGGTTCAGTGATGCTGGATTTGATGTATAAAACTCCTAGTGCAGTGATCTGGAAATAATTTAAGTAATAGGAGCCAATGAACTGGACCAAAGGAGCTATGGTTCATGATTAATCTAGTTGATTAGGTCAACCATGTCAAAGCAGAAAGTGGAGTTGGATCCAACATGTTCAACAGAGTAATTTGAGATCAATGGATGTGATATTAGGTCATGAAATGGCCATTTGGACCCTTAAAGGGTAATTTGGTCAACATGAGTTGACTTGGTCAACCATGCATGACCAAGGCTTGAATTTGAGTCCAATGCATTGCTAATGATGTTTAAGAGCACTAGAGGGAGGTTTTAGGATTTGATTTGACTAGGACATGTTGAGGTTTGGAGAAAACTTCAATTTTTCCCTTAAGGGACACTTCAGTCATTTAGGCCCCTAGTTAGTCTGAGGTCCACCGAACTACAGTTTATGTTCAACATGTCATAACAAGGGTTATGAACATGATCAAAGATTTTGGGGAAGGTCCCAATGTCAAATTCTACAAGGTGGAATATCCAGTGGCATAGGCTATAAATATTGAAAGGTTTTACAGCTTTTGGAATTCAATCAGATTTCTGGAGTTAGAGGTCTCAGATTGGCCTCAAATTTAAAAGGTTGACCCTAAGGGTATGCCTAATCAACATGCAATTGATAGATCATGAATCGGAGGTTATTTGACTGGGTTTTGAAGTTATTGAAAAATCACTCAAAAATGGCATTGGACATGGACCTTTAACAATGAATTCTAGTCTGGAATTTTGGATTTGAATGCAATTTTGAGGGTTTGATTGATTGAATATGAACTATCCACATCAATGACAATCAATCAGGTGATTGTTGATGATTGGTTAGAGGAAATCAAGTAGTGATCACTAGGTGATAGTGTATTGAGCTGGGTAGTATACTGAATCACCTAGCTACAGTACAGGGCTGCAACTTCAAGTGATTGTAGATTGATATCAACTAAATGATTGAAACTGATTGATGTTTGATTGAAGATTGGATTGAGGTTTGATTGAAGACAGGAATGAAGTTTGATTGAAGTTTGAATGAAGTTTGATTGAAGTTTGAATGAAGTTTAATAGAAGTTTTAATGACTGCAGACAAGTGCAGGCTGGAGTTTGAAGTGTAGATTGAGTTCTAGATGATTGTCAACCATCAAATTAACATGAGTCTGGATGGATCATTATGACCTCATACATAAATGAGGTTAACAGCCGCCAGAGTATTATGCTTGAAAAAAAAGGATTTGTAGAATTAATTGTATATTTTTTCATAGTCATCGATAACGCAAATGCTGGATAAACCATCAATAGTAGACATAAGGCCAATAATAAGTCTCAAGTATGGTGTGCCATGAACATGGGACATGCTGGAAGATTCATAACAAACCTATCAATTGGAAAAGAAAAAAATCCTGGAAATTGATCTATGGATGTAAATGAGGCAAATGTTGGTACAATCAATAAAGAACGGATGAATCATCTTCTAAAATAGCTAAAAAATTAATTCTCATACTAGGATTCCCAATGATTATCAAGCTCAAGTATGTAGAAACTCTAATATTTTCACTTGTCACTTTAGTCATATATTTTGGACAATAGATTCGAGTGATTTTGATCGCAAAATAAATCTAACTCATATATTCCATTTCTGCCTTTTTCTAGTGATAAGAAAGTAAGAATCATTAATGAAAACATTTCATCCATAAAGGAAAAGGATCTAGTAAATTTTCTAAAAATATCACCCTAATATCCACCCTTCATTACCATACCTTGAAAATAAATCTTATCAATGAGTCAACTCCTAATAATTTTAATTGTCATGTTACTTTTACTATTCTCACTATGAATTTCAGGACATGAGCAAGTGGGTGATAATTGGCAATGTTAGAATGGTGGATGGTCTCTACTATTTTGATGAAAACTTCCCCCTAATAAACAAGTACAAGGCTTTAATAATAGATGGGGATATTATCAGCAGAATTCAAGTTCGATGGTTGAAGTAGAGGAATGCATCGGGCTTGTTATGTGATAGAAATGTACCCCTCAAACTTAAGGGAAAATTCTATAAGATGGTAGTGAGTCCTGCAATGCTTTATGGTGCCAAATGTTGGCCATTAAAAGAGAAGCATAACACTAAGTTATGTGTGGCAAAGATGAGGATGCTCAGGTGGATGAGTGGCTTTACCCTTAGAGATAGGATACGAACATGGGCGGATCCACCCATGGCTTAGGGTGGGCAAATGCCCACCCTCAAAATTTTTTTTTTAATATTGAGAGGGAAGATTTTTAAATATTTTGAGTATTTTGGGCATTTTGCCCCCCCCTCAAAAAATTTTTTTGCCCTAATTTTATCAATCCTAAGCATTTTTGCCAATCTCTCACAAAAAAAAATTTTTTTGCCCACCCTAAAAAAAGAAGCTGGATCCGCCCCTGGATACGAAATGAGCATATACGTGAAAATGTTGGAGTAGCTCCAGTAGAAGATAAGATTAGAGAGAGTCGCCTTAGATGGTTTGGTCACATAAAAAGGCGGCCTTCCGATGACCCGGTTAGGAGAGTAGAGGTATTAGATTTGACTTGTGTTAAGAAAGGTAGGGATAGACCTAAAAAGACTTGGTTAGAAAATATTTGAAATGACCTTTGTTTATTAGATTTAAACGAGAATTTGATTTTTAATATGACACAATGGAGAAAAAGGATTCATGTAGCCGATCCCACGTAGTGGGATAAAGGCTTGATGTTGTTGTTGTTGTTGCAATTGTTCACATAGTTAATAGACTTCAATCCAAAAATGATTCTAGGACAATAAAATGTATTTTCAATGGCTATACACCAAATAGAGGAAGAAAGTCTTAGGATTCTCTAATAAAAAAAAATTATAATGTCTCCTTCATAGAAAATCAACCTTAAGGCAAAATTGTCTTCAAGGGGAGACTTAGACCAGTGAAACTCAATTTCATCAAGAGGAACAGAAAAATAAAATAATCCAAAGTTAACCAAAGTTCAAGAAAGACTTTATAAATTAGGACTACAGAGGTTATCCTCTGCTGTCAAGACTCCTCCTTTGTATTTATCTAATTATCATAATTGGTATACTTTGGTTTCTTCTTTTTCAACTAATAATTCAATATAATTTTTAGATGTTATACTCATTTCATTGACTGGTAGTATAATTTTTTATTTTAAAGATGACAAAACAACAATAACAATAACAACAAATCTTTGTCCACTACATGGGCTCAGCTACATGAATTTTTGAGACATTCTAAATATATTTTATGAATGAAATTTAAATTATTTTAAGAAAATCTACAATAATAAATTTAAAAAACTAGACAATACCCTTGATGGACAAGATGTCGGAAGTCTTATAGCATTTCCAATTTCTAGCTCTGGGTAAACTTTGAACCTGAATTAACATAAAAGATTTGTTAACCGCATGATCCTCAGACAAAAATAATAAATGTGAAAACTCTGAGCTTCCTCAAATAGATGCTTTCAAGATTTGGCAAACAAAAGGACCTGATGTTCTCCAAACGTGTCAGCCAAGAAATCAGATCAATCACGTTAAACAAAAAAGTATGTTTTGCTTTACAATTTTCTTTTAAATTTAGTTCTTTTTCAAAATATTCAATCAAAGCAGACAAATCAGAAAAAATCAAAGTTCTATAAACATATCAATGCTGTAAAACAAAGACGAAATGCATCAGCTGCACAAAACAACAGCTTTTTCTTTAGCACTAGTTATGAACATTGAATTATATAAATCACAATATAAAACTTGTTGGTGATAAAAATTAAATCCCATCAAAATGATGTTTTGAAGATTGAGCCCCTCAAAAGAGACAATTTGGAGGATTTCACCAGATCAAGGTGGAATTCTACCCATTAAGATCCTAAGAACCTTTAATTCAGAATCAAAGTAACCATTTTGTCGTTCTTATAAACTATCAATATTACAGCATTCCGAATCCATTTTGTGATTGATACCTTACCAGCCGTAGTCCACTCAGTCCGCTACAGTTGATATGTTATTAACTTATGTCTTACCCTCTGAAATACGAACATATTTTATCTCATGAAAGAGGAAAAACGAAAGCTAAGAACTCAAAAGGTTTAAAAAAGGATAGCCAAAATTGAGCAAAAGGTTAAAAATTTTGAGGAATCCAAACTAAAAAGCAAGATTTGCAGTTGAAAGTTAAGAATCAAATATATATATATATATATATATATATATATATATTCACCAGGTTTCCATGATTTCAGAAAATCATTGCTATCTATTGCAAAATGCTGGCTATGTGCATAGCCAGCCGTTGAGTATAGTTTGCAAATCTTTTCCTTGAATCTTCATCACGTGGAATTTTATTGGTGTATTAGATTTATGCAAACATTTCGCATGCATATTGTTGGATCCAAAGCTGTCCAATGAAATCTTTTTGAGCCATACTAGAGGACACAAACCAAGATTAAGGATGCAGATTGGACCAGTTTGGTGGAATTAAGGTCTGGATCCTTAGATCTCTCAAACTGCCTGTTAAGCATCAAAACATTTCCTTGGATGCAAAAATAATACAAATATAAGGAGAAGAATGGATCCATTACTCTAAAGAACAAGCTCATGACAAAAAATCAAAGCTTATAGTGTATAGTCAGTCCAGAAAGTGGTCTAAGGACTGAACCAAACCATGTTTTTTATAAGAAATGAAGCCATAACAGCCAGTTTATTATTGTAACTAGGTTTATTACTGTTTAAAAAGTTGGTCTTTTTCTATTTACTTGTAAAAATCTATAAATAAGCCCACTTGCTATAATTGATGCTTTAGGAAATGAAAACAATGTATTCTCTCTTTCCTTGTTCTCTTTTCTCCTCTTCTTCTTCCTCTAGGAATTTCCACCTACTCAAAAGGTGTTCTATCGTTCTTGATTCAATCAAGAAGCATGTCTAATTGGTGCTTTAGTTGAGAACCTCATCCCTCTCAAACTGCAGCAAGTTGCTTCTCCATTCCCTCCCTCCATGCATTCAACCCACGAGCTACCATCCCTTAGACATCACAGTTTTTGCCAATGGTTTTGCAGTCTCCGTGAGCACCCAACCTTCAAGCACAGGGCATCAAACAACCCAACCTTCCGCTCATCTGATTGACGCAAGGAGCACTGGCCACCTTTATGGACGCTCATTTTCAGTTTCTCCATTGGGTCATGTTAAGAGTCAAATTCTCATCTAAATTTAATAAAGAAAGGTCATTTCTAATATTTTCTAACCAAGTCTTCTTAGGTCTACCTCTACCTTTCTTAACATAAGTCAAATATAATACATCAACTTTCCTAATTGGGTCATCGGAAGGCCACCGTTTTATGTGACCAAACCATCTAAGGCGGCTCTCTATAATCTTATCTTCCATTGGAGCTACTCTAACCTTTTCACATAAATGCTCATTTTGTATTCTGTCTCTAAGAGTAAAGCCACTCATTCAACTGAGCATCCTCATCTCTGCAATACTTAACTTAATATTATGCTTCTCTTTTAATGACTAACAATCTGCATCATAAAGCAATGCAATATCACTAACATCTTATAGAATTTTTCCTCAAGTTTTAGAGTGACTTTTCTATCACACAATAAGCCCGATGCATTCCTCCGCTTCAACATCCGACTTGAATTCTTTTAATAATATCCTCATCTATTTCACCATCACTCTGACCAATAGACCCAAGATATCTAAAATGTGCACTCTTATTAATGACTTGATCGTCCAAAGTTACAATCCCCCCACTAAATCTATTGTTACAAAAATTACACTCCATATATTCAATTTTAGAACTACTCAAACGAAAGCCTTCAGACTTTAAGGTTGACCTCCATAATTCATGTTTACCTTCAACTCACTCTCTAGTCCTATCAATAAGAAGAATATCATCAAGAAAAAGCATACACCAGGATACAACCTCTTGCAAATGTATAGTGAGAATATCCATGACTAAAGCAAAAAAAGATATGGGCTTAAGGTTGATCCTTGATATAATCCAACTGAAATAGAAAAATACTTGGTCAAATCAACTTGTTTTTAAACATAAATAACAGCTCCTGCATACATATCCTGAATGACTTGAATATAAGCATTATTAACCTCTTTCTTATATAGAATTCTCCATAGCACTTCTCTTAGAATATTATCATATGCTTTCTCTAAATCAATAAAAATCATATGTAGATCCTCTATATCTCTCCATACTTCTCCATCAAACCTCTCAATAAATATATAGCTTCTATAGCAGATCTACCTGGCATGAATCCAAATTGATTTGGAGAAACATTAGTGTGAAGCCGCAACCTATACTCCATAATTCTCCCCCATAGTTTTAAGGCATGACACATTAACTTAATTCCTCTATAATTGGCATAATCTTATGCATCCCTTTATTCTTAAAAATAGGAATCAACACACTCATCCGGAATCTTTTTAGTCTTCAAAATAATATTAAAAAGTTTTGTAAGCCAAGAAATTCCTTCATCTCCTAAGCATTTCCACTGCTTCATTGAAATATCATCAAGTCCAACAGCTTTTCCACACTTCATTTTCTTTAAAGCCTCTTTAACTTCGATTTTACTAATACGCCGAAAAAAACAAAAATCTTTATTTTTACTTAGGGTGCTAAGGTCACTAAAGCAATTGCAATCTCACAATCTTCATTAAAAAGTTTAGCAAAATATCTCATCCTCCTTTATTGAACATCTCTTCTAATAAAAGAACTTTTTTATCATCATCCTTCATACACTTCACTTGAACTAAATCTTTACTAATACTATCTCTTTGTGTAGCTAACTTATACATATATCTCTCGTCCTCCTTAGTATATAATCTATTATATAAATCATTAAAAGCTAAAATTTTTGCATCGCATATTGCTTTCTTAGACTCCTTACGGGGCCTCTTTATATATTTCCCAATTATTAGATTTTTTACACCTAAACTAATTTGTATAACAAATCATTTTATTTTTTATCTTTTCTTACACATTTTGATTCCACCACCAACTATTTTTACTAGTAGTAATTTTTCCCTTAGATACTTCAAGCACATCTTTTGTAATATTCTTAATATCACTAATTTCATCTACAATATTCACAACCAACTATTTTTACGAATCAAAATTTTATTAAATTCAAAAATCTATACCACAAGTGGATGCTTAATTTGCCTCTATCGGAAGAACATTACAACAATTCCAAGTATATATGGCCTCCATTGACAAGCGCCTCGACAACATCTTCTTAGATCGTCCACCTTCTGCCCATCAAGAACCACCACCGTACACCAGGGGGATCAGCCACCTGATTTCCATCTCCTTAATACCCACCAGCCAATGCAGGTTTATCTTTCCTTAAAAACATGAAAGTCAAACTTCCTCACTTTAATGGATATGATGCGGAAACTTGGATCTTTAGAGCCCAAGAATATTTCAATTTTCATAACACGCCATATTACCACCACATAAGAATTGCTACATTTCATCTTGAAGGTTCTATGGCTACATGGTATCAATGGATTTGCATGAAAGTCCAAACTCCTTGGCCCGAATTCATGATATAATTACAACAACATTTTAGTGTTTCTTCCTACGAAGATTTACATGGCAATCTATCTAAATTAACTCAACAATTATCCATTCTTGAGTACCAAATAGCTTCTGAATATCTTGCATTTAAAATTCTAAATCTTTTTTAATATACTATTAAAAGTTATTTTATTTCTAGTCTCAAACAAGAATTGCATAGAAAATTTTTTAGTCAAACCCATTACTCTTTTAGATGCCATGGATTTAACTCCCCACCAAGAATTCAAATTTCAAGATTTTCTTACGTATCCTTAACATTGGCGGAAATCATTTCCACTCTCATCCCCAACAAACCTACCCACTTTTTCGTGCCTATAGGCCAATCAAGTACCCACACGCCATCATCAAATTCCTCCTTAAAACTTCCTAATCTGCCCATCCTCAAGCTCTCCCCTTTGGAAATTCAATTTCGTTGGAAGAACGGAATTTGTTTAAATTGTGAGTCAACATTTAACCCTAAACATTGTTTCCCTAATAAATTTTATCTTTTAATGGGCACTAATGATTCTAATACTATAGAGCATGAGCAACATTCACCTAATGACATCGATTCTCTAGATTTATCTATATAAATAATTTTTTTAAATGCTCTAGCCGGACAATTCAATATACATTCTTTTTCGTTTAACCAGCCGTATTAAGAAACATAATGTTCATATTTTGATTGCAAGTTTTGTCACTCATAACTTTATTTAAGGTAATATTGTTCACCAACTTGGCCTTCACACCAAACCAATTAAACAATTTAAAATATGCATTGGCAATAGCAATTTACTTCTTTACAATTCA